GGCAATCCTTTGTGAGATAACACGATTGCTAGCAGTTTTATACTCTACCTGCAATGGTGATGATTTTGCTAATAATTATCATCATGCTGAGATTGAAGAGGAAGCAGATGATAATCCAGCATGTTGCACGAATGCTTGGGTCGCTGTTAGATTCTTGGTTGCGTCAACGGTGAATTATGAGGGAGAGAGTAGACGTCGTTTGCACATTTTTTTTCCCATTTTGAATGTTAAATCGCCTATCCTGATTTTATGTTATTTTAGCCTGACGCCTTTGCATCGTCGTTTCTTTGCCATCCTTATTATTGAGTGCGGGCGAATATCTTCTACCCATTTTGTTCATACGTCATTCTTCGTTCTGCGTGGGAGGTTTGATCATTTTATCCTCATCATGTAATTACCAACTGATTACCTAGCCTTCAGAATTTTCGTCACCTGTTGTTGACATTAGGTTTAACACAGCAAGACCCCTCTGTTCATTGAGGTTTCTAAAATTGTCAACGGGAAGTGACAGGATTGACAGGTGGTGATGAACGATTGTGTGGGCAGACCTCACTCTTGCAAACCTGCAGCATTCAGGTGTAATCCGGGTTCTTTTCGGGACCCTTCAGTGCAATAGCTCACTGACTTTAGTTACGGATGCAAGTATGAATCTGATCGTGTTCAGAGTCTGCTCTCCAGTAGTAGTGTGTGTTTTTCATTCACACCGTTAATCAGTAGTTAACCAGTTGTCTAATTATAATATCTGTCAGTTTTGATCTATGCAATTTATCGGTCATATCCCTGTCGCCAACTCGCTACCACTATCCACCGTTGAGAGGTAGCCTTTGTATTGTCGCTCTCGCCTGCTTGTTTAGCGAAATCCTCGCTGGGCTCTGTTCAGCAGTAAAATAAAACAGGATACGCGAACAGACAGACGATGGCCGGAGTGATAGACAAACACTCGCGTCGTTTGTGTTTTACTGGGTATCCAAATCGTAACGGTTACGCCAAGCTCGCTTGCGACGTCGGGGATACATAAATATATCTCGCGTTCAGCTTCCATCATTGTGCAGCACGTCGTTGCGCAGTTATTCACTCCTAGGCGTCGGCTGTGTTCATGATGCGACGATAAAAGTAGAAGTCTAAGCACGTGATTAGCCGAGACTCGTCGGTTCCTCAAGCAGCAGTCAGCTGTTAATAATAAGCGACTCTGAGACGCAGCCAGGTACCTCTGATCGGCGTTAAGGTAGTACAGCTAAAGCAGTGTTGTATTTATTATTATTATTATTATTGTTGTTGTTGTTGTCATGATCGTCATCATGTCTGTCTTTCGAAACGGTGGTGGCCGCCGTTGCAATCCGGTTAACTGGCTGATTGGTGGTTGGTGAAGATCGGACGGACGGAGAACTCGTTCATTAGCTCACCGTTCTCGCTGCTTCCTGCTTAACGGCGCAACTGTTGTGGTCCTCACGAGCGCGTGAGGATCGGAGGTTATTTTCGGCTCTCGGCGCTGAGTGGCTGGTTGGCCGGCCATCAACTGCTGCGCTAACTCTTTCGCACTCGCCCGTACGTTTATTCCTGCCCGATTCTAAGCTATTCCTCTCCAGTCTCCCACTTTCCACTTCTCGCATTTGTTTTGCTCATTTCGACTCGTCTTCGTTCGACATCCGCTCATCGGCGTTGCGCTCGTGTTCGATTTCCTCCATCGCCTTTGGAATACTTCACTCTCGTCGCTTTCCGGGTATGTTCTTTACATTTAAGCTCCGTCGATGGCCCTTCTTCTGTGAAAACCACCTCACCGACGTGTCCCTCCGAAATTTTGGTCATTCAGACCCACCTGCGAATCTTTTGCTTAGTTGTTTAATAGTTTACCGATTTTCCATTTTCGATACCCGGTTCTCGTTGGTGTCATTTCCGCCGCAACTCGGCTGACTTTCACCATGAACGAACTTCAAACTTCAGATGGTACCTGTAGCAGATCCCCTCATCAAACCACTGCGAGTTTGTTTGAACCTATTTTTACTCCGACTACTTTTTAACAACAACCAGAAAGTGGTTGACGTCGCTCGTGCGAAATTTCTTTGTTCGACGAGCTCTTTGCCTTCACTGCCTTCTGAAACATTTCTCACCGGTCGCAACCTTCATGTTTGCCATCATGTTATATGTGAACTGTTTTTTGCCTGTCCACGCATCAGCTGACCGAGCATCAAACATGCAGCGCGATAGGTTTTGCAAATGTCCCCCTTTTTCAGGTATGCGCTGCTTTTGACGACTCTGTTTTTAGTTCCGGTAACTTCTGGCCAGTGAACCATGCTGATCGACCGAGAAACGATTGTCGAAAATGGGTGAGGATTTTAAAGCGTAAAGTGTTGACGTCCGTACACTTGTTATCTTGTTCTGCTTTTAGCGAAGACGGCCAGTCGGCGAACGACGAGGTCATTCCTGAGCGCCAAATTAGGTACGGGGGTGCTCAAGCTGACAACGACGAGGAAGAGGTACGACAACGCGAGTGTCGCCGTTTTAACACAGAAAGCAGCAATAAAATTGTTTCTCTCGTAGGAAGCACGTCTAAAGCGAGAAGAACGAGAACGCAAGAAAGCCGAGGTCCGAAAACGTCTGGAAGAAGCTGGCAGAGCCAAGAAGGCCAAAAAGGGCTTCTTGACACCCGAGAGAAAGAAGAAGCTTCGAGTGAGTTTTTCTGACGTGTTTTAGCTTGTTTTCAAAGGTATGCGTCATGTCCATCCATCCAGTCATTCATCCACCTCTGACCGAGTTTGCTCAGGCGGTAAAGCCTGGGACTCTGGTCCGAGAGGTCCTGAGTTTGAGCTTCGTTAGCGTCAGTTGCCTATCTTCTTTCCAACATTGAGGAATGAATAGTTGGCTGTGGAAATGAAACAGGAAAGATACTACATTTTGACTCTGCCTTTAAAATAAGTCATAAAAATGGAAGAGTGTCTTTCCATTGACTTGATGAAAAGTAAGGGGCCAAAAATCATCCTATCATGAAGTATAGCGAAGATCGACATTCCAATGGCTACAAACTTTCCTTTTCTGTTCCTGAATTTCTTTCTCCTTTTTATTCATCCACTGATGAACGGGCGAATGGAACTATGCTTAACATAAAAAATGATAGAAATAGGTCTTTGAATTGATAATTGAAGGTTCGTGTTGCTTCTACTCATGTCGAAATTTCTGGTCTTCTGTTTTCTCTTTCTAGAGCCACAGTAGTTCCCTTGAGACCAAAATAAATAACCGTCAACAAATTAAATTAAAACACCTCAAAATCAACAGCATGTTCGTTTCATAGCACGTTTCATGCTTCCAAATTGACTATGCTTTCAAACATGTTCAAGGGTCAGTTATGATTTCGAATATTACTCATCGCCTCATGACTCAAGTCTATGTTCTACATATTATCATGATTTGACTGACGGTTTAACATATCAAGGCTTCGATAATGTATCTTTACAACACTAAAAATGCTGCAATACAGTCAATATTTTAGTTGGTGTCACCATACTTCCTCTTTGCGGTTTCATGAATTGGACTTATTAAACTCGAGCTGTAATTATATGATATCCTCTTCTCGATTACTATGGTCGTTCAGTGTGTTACTCATTTCCTCAGATTTATAGACGCATCGCTGCAGAATTTATCAGTGCGAATTAGAACAAAGGTTTAAAGTTCATTTGCAAATGTAGGCACATAATCGCTCAAAAACCTAATTTCGCTGCCTCTTAGACAGATCCCTTTGTCCCAAGATTTAAGCGATCCTCGTGACATTTCAGCAGCTCGCATGATTTTCTTCGTTACAACAATTTGTCTGTATTGAACAGATGATTGTTGACCGAGGTTATTCAATCGGTAGGGCACCCTACTCAGAATCTAGAGGTCGCGGGTTCGATTTTCGGTCGAATGGGTCACTACGCTTCCTTCCTTCCAAGGTTTATAAATGAGTACCATTCTGTGGAACACACAACTATAAATTCTGCCTTTAAAATGCGACAGTTTTCGCCGATGCGTAGAAACGGGGGTCAATACTTCACCATTAACTTCATGAAAAGAAGGGCACCTCACGTGGCCGCTATTAAGAAAGTGTGAGGTGAATCGACATCTCGACGGTTCCAGACTTCTTTCCTCTTTTATTACCAGTTGTTAGCCAGCTGAACTATTATAAGTATTTCTGGACGAAAATTATTGATTTAGTCTAATGTTCGATGAAATGCACTGGTTACCACTATCACAACGGGCATCATCAATTCAGATGTAAGCTCTATTCCTCAACCTGCATGGCTTAAACGTTCGATGTCCCTGGAATGCAGGCGTAATCGCGTCATTTTAGTCAGTTATAACTGCTTCGTTAAGAAAACATTTCTTAGCGACTGTTGGCTTAACTGAAAATGGTTTTGTATGTGAAGTGTTCGCCTCCATGGGAGAATCTCATAGCCAGTTATATCTGCGTGTAACTTTTCCCAGATCAGACTTCAACAGCGTTTCATCATTCTCTTGTTCATCGTTGCTTAAGGAGACCATTTAAGCACGAAATGGTTCCGAGGTGTTTGAGTACCTGCAGTTTTAAATTCATCGCGCAATATTTTACTCGCTAGCACAATCTCTTGCTCATCAGCAAATGTCATTCAGCGCCTGTTACTTCGTACGTACGAGAACGTAGGGATCAAAAGTATGGGTTCCTACGCCGGAAGATGTTAATGAGCAGATAATTCCATACAACCAGACTTCACAGCGTATTGCACCGTTCTCTTCCTCCTAGTGGTCTAATGAGTAAGTCAGCCATGTCATATTTTTACTCATGATTCTATCAAACCGTGAGATTCGTCGCCCTGCGGCACGGACGCTACGTATTTTTATTCAGTAGTTCTGAATGGTGCTACTGAACCCTTAAAGCGCTGTGCAGACAACCTCACTGCCAGTGCTTGAATGGTCTCAGGTACTTACAACACTCATTGTTGCCTGTAAACGAAGAACTTGACATTTATTATCAGAACAGTGTGCAGTTTCCGTTATATTCATCATCAAGATCGACCGGTGCAGGGCCTAACAGATTTACAGCATCGATTGTCTTCCTGAGCCTTTGACCAAGCGCATCTTGGAAAATCGTTTTGAACAGCAAGAAAAAGAGCCATAGTCTTTGCAGGTTTCTGCAGCATGGTATATTTAATTTTTTCTTCAGGATACTCCAAATCTAAGATTCAGTTATGTTCTTTTTCTGCGCTGTTTCAGCTGTACTATTTATTGATGCGAGGATGAAAAATGTAGAAAACTAAAATTGATAATTAATAACGCAGTGAATTAACATATGTGGCATCGTTTATAAGGATCTTCATCAAAAGAAAAATGATTTAGCGTCGGCACTGTTCAGTTTATCAACAGAGTCACATTAGAATCCGGGTCTTACCTCTGAACGGTAATAAATCAGGGGGTATGATGCGGTTTGCAAAGATATGATGAACTTATTAGAAGGATGCTATTGTCTTCCGTTTTGAGAGTCTCTGGAAGTGCTTAGGCAGAAAAGTAAAGTCAGATATTGGAACGGGATCCAGCGACCGTTTGATCTCGTTTTTGGCATTCTTCCATTTCGTAAGTATGGGTTCGTCACCATTCATGGTAATGAACAGGTCAGCATCTAGAACAGGAATTCATGCACGTTATGGCGTCCCCTTCGTCCTAATTGCCTAGGGGCTGTTTGTACATGTAGCGACTCCTTTGCGTTGCACTCTACAGTACTAATGGCATCTCACAGAAACTTTATACGCCCGATGCTACTAGCACATATAGAACTGAATTCTACGCGTATCTTCATGCCCTGGTATATCACGATTTGCAGCCACTGAAATACCACTAACGAGGAGCAAGGTATCTCTCAAGAAAATCAGACAGCGGCGCGATGCATCTGCTACCGTAGAGATCCCAAATACCATGGAAACGTTTCTGTTTAAACAGCTTCCCTACACAACTAAGAGCAAGCGAGTGGTGAAACATGGTCGGAATCAGTTTTGGAGGAAGCATGCTCCGATACAACTGATTCACTGGATTCGACTGTGGTAAAACAGTCAAGAAAATTGTGTCGCGAGAGCCAACGTCGTACAACAACAATAACAACGACAGGAATTGCGCATTTTATTAATTATTACATAAAATAAACAGCTATCAAGTACGTCAAGGCAAATCACGGTACTCTCATGGTACTGCATGACCGTACCTCTCGTCGATTCTGGTATGACCACATTAGAACGCTATGTGGTCCTTATTATTTGTAATTCAACGACTTATGACCCGTTTTCTTGGCTAGTTGGACCAAGGCTTCGTCAGGTTAGCTCAGTGCTGAAGGAAGCTTCGCGATTAAGGCAAATTTTGCATTTCTCGGGATTTGAATCCGGCACCTCTGTAGTTAGAAGCCGACCTCTTTACTACTACTCTCTGTACACTCGACCGTCATATGGTTATATCTACAGTTACCTAAACGTGTTCCCTTGGCGGAAACAGAGAAAATTGACAAAAGTGATGTTCAATCAATGATTCTAAATAAAAATAATTTATCGATGATAGAGTGACGGCATCCGCTGCAGACTTTTGAACTATACAAATTTATTTCACCATTCTCGGTGTAAAGAAACTGAAAAATATGAAGCAATGTTTGCCCTAAGGATGGCTGAGCGAATGCTTTTGGCAGAAACGCGGCCAATTTGAATAAAGACCTTAACATCGGTTCTGTTTTTTGTAATAAATGCATTGGATCAACATAGTTTTGTCTAATAAGAATTTTCAGAATCGAAGTGAGTTTTCGAAATCATATGTTCAAAAAAGATATGAAGTTAATCCTTAGGTCGTACTGTGCGTCAGTCAACGCAGATTTCTGAAAATTACCGTGCTTTCTTCCTCTGGGTCTCGTTCTACTTTCGGTATGATTCATTTCGAGTCGGTCGATCTTCATTCATTTCCTGGTTACGACAGCGACTGAAGGAATTCCACAAAGGAGTTGATCCAGCG